GATTGCATCATTCTTGCCATTAACATGAGCATAACTTATTTCCATGAAAATCTCTTCACCCTGAAGTGCTTTCCCAACGGAGTGGCAAGCCCCCGTCGCTGCCGTTTGCCTGCAAGTGGGAGATGGCTGCGGTTTTAACAGCATGCAGCGGCCATTTAGAGGGGAAAAAAAATGGTGCTGAGGAAAAACAAAGGCGCTGTGGTTTGTCTGTTCCACTTGGGATATTTAGAGAAGCAGTGCGGGGAACTTGCCCAGCACCAAGGTTGAAATGTTGGTCTCTGGAAGTCAGCAGTAGGACCATTGCCCTCTCTGTTAGAGTCGGGGTTTCCTCCGATGGCTCTGGTTCCCAGATTTTCAAAAAGGATAATGAGACTGAGACTGGACAGAGTGATGGGGGGGTAAATGATGTAATGTACCTTGCTACAAATTAATTGTGCCGGGTTTTGGTTTTGTTTATTTCATGGAGATAGTAAGCCCAGGCACGTGGGTGAGTTCTCTTTCCCATATCACGCAAGTATCTCTCACTGTTAATAGTGATGAAAAAGAAGAACAAAAACCCCACCCTCTTCTCCAAATAAAGGATCTTTTCCTTCTCTGCATATAACATGGAGGACTGGCTGCTCTGCATCTTGCACTTTTTGCCTGCTTGCTTTTCCAGCAAGCGAGGTCCCTGTAATTCATAACCTGCAAATCTCAGCACGGCAGAGGCAGGAGGAGCAGGAAAGGCTGCCTTCATCAGCCTTTCCCTCCACTGAGCCTCCCAGGAAGCTTGGGAAGGGAGATGCTGCTGCCATGGAAAGAGTCCTGTCTGCTCACGTTTCCTCCGTTTGCAGATCTGCTGCCCTACATAAAAATGATGGGAAGGAGCATGCAACCCGCTTCTACCCTATGTCTGGCCGGCTCTGGCTTCAAGAGGTGAGCTTGGGGACAGTGAGAGTTCGGTCCAAGGCAGAGGGGGAGGTTGGGGATAGTTATGGATAAAAGGAAAGAAAACTGAAGTCAGGGATGCAGCAAATGAGCCAATAAAAAAATGCAGCTAGGAAAATGCTGACGTGCTTACTATACCAAGTAGTTTCCTACTCCAGGCGTTACCCAGGGGGATTGAGGATTACAGATCTGGTGGAAGGATCACTGTAGCAAGCGAGCCTCTGCAATGCAGGTCATTTCATCCAGAAAATAAAAGCACTGCAGTGATACCGGGGCCGGACTGGAGAAGGTAGGAAATCTCTGTGTGGTTAGTGGAGTTGAACGCCAGACGTGCGGTGAATAACCGCCTCTGTTCGCAGCAAGGAGAGGAGGATGATAACGGGTTTGCTGAAGTACAAGGGCAGTCGCTCACCATTTCAACACAGCAGCGTTTGTGTGCGGAGTCTGGGTACAACCGTGTTACAGCTCTGCTTTCCTTCACAAGCTGAAGAAGAACTACAGGCAGCCGAGGCAGCAGGTAGCCAGGCTGTCGGTTAACGTGCTGGGATGGGCTCTGTGTCTTAAGGGAAAGCTCAACCCTCCCTCCCCTCAAAAATACACCCTGGGATTATTTTTATCTGTAGCGGACGACGATTGAGTTTATATCCCATACAGCAGACCCAGTGGGGGATAAAACTGAGACGGTCTGAGTGAAAAAAAAGAATCTCCTAGTAAATTATTAAAACTATTTCTTGTATACAGCCATCCCCGAGTTTTCTGTCTGAGTATATGGCGCTGCTTTGTTTGAAAGCTGATGAGATTGTCACCTGGAAAAGGATCGCCGAGTCGCAGAACCTCCTGTGTTCCAGCGTGTGCCCATTGCCTCTGGTCCTGTCACTGGTCCCCACTGGGAAGAGCCTGGCTCGCCCTGCAGGT